GGTTCACCGTGTTCCCATCCAGTTGCCAATATGTCTCTATTGATCTCAGCATTGTAACTCAATCTTTCAATTACTCGGCCCCTTGATGTCTTTCTGCTGATTTTTTTTTTTGCCTTTCTCTAGTGACCGTTTCCCTTCCAAGTTCCTGATCCTTTACCCTTACTTTATAAACCTATTTCTTTACACTCCCTTGTCCCAGCAGAGGCGAGAGATATTTAATGAGAAAGGGCTTACTTTCCCAAGCAAATAGCAGGAAAAAAAAAAAAAAATAGATGCCAAGATAAAAAAAGGATAAGAGTGTCTTTTGTCCTATTGATATGTGGTATAATTCCCATTAATGATAATCTTAAAGAGCGGGGCCAGCAGAGACTACTTGAATCATGTCTATCTAAAGAAATTGTCCGTATAGTTTAAACTCTTACTTCTTTAACTCACGGCCATTCTGTCTCCTGCTACCACCCATGGGAAAGGGAAAAATCCCCACCTTAGTTTCTTTGTTACCTTCAGGAGTTTAAAAGAATACTTACACAAAGATAGCAATCCTCTGTCATTCTGTGTGCAAAGAGACAGCATCAGCTCTCCACCAGCCTGTGAGTCAGGGGGAGCCGGGGGTGTCCAGCTTCCCAAAGAAGCATCAGGCTTTTATTCACATGCCCAAATTACAGCAATGCAGCTTTCCAAAATTACCCAAGAGGTTCCTCTGATGGAACATGCATCCCGCTGTTATCAGCCCCAGTTTCAGTTCTGGTTGCAGATGCTTCAGCTCTGGTCACAGAGGGTTTTCATCAAGAGACGTAGCTGCTCTGTCAAGGTTATCTCAAAATTTGATCTCAGGTCAATTTACTGCTTCCTCTAAGCACACAGTGAAAATAATAAACACATTGCTTCGTATGATATCCCTGTGTCACACCAGACTTAACGCCACTCGCCATCCACAGATATCTTCATTTAGTTATTACCTTCTCTTCTCTGCTGGTCTAAATCTGAAGACTTGAATGTGCAAACAGAGACCAGGACAAACACAGACACATCTAAGCAGTCAACAAATACAAGGAGGGCTACCAAGATTTGCTGACAGCACTGAGCAAACATCTGATGTTAAGATGCTGCTGCAGTAAGGCATGAGGATCAAATTCCTCTTGAAATATGAAAGGATAGAGACAAGGCAGAACAAACTGTTGAAATCTCAGAGAATTTAAGTAAACAGGTTAATCATGCCAGCTGAAGGCTGGTGTGAACAGAACGATCCAAGGAGGAATACCACTGCAAGTCCATCACACTGGTGTCCAACCCCAAGCTCCTACTGTCACACACACAGTCCATGAGTGATTCCAGTGGGCTGTGCACAGCAATGGGCATTGCTCAGTGGGTATCAAAGCAATCTCCTGCCTTACATGCAGGAGCATACATGGTGTTACACTGTATACACAGCACAGACACGCTGTTTAGACCACAGTATCTTTGAAACCTTCCTGTTATTTCCACGTTTTGTTTGTGCATCAGCAGTGTCTCTATTTAAAAGCCACATCAGCTGTTCAGCTTGACTCCATGTAGTCCTGTATTATTTTATCCATCCAATAGATAGAACTGCCATAGCTAACATCTGCCTCGATCACACAAACTCAGAAGAACAATTGCTAAAAAATTATTTACACTCAGTGGATGGAATCATCTGACACAGAATATGAAGCTCATTAAACAGCTCCTTGACAAATATTTGTCAGCATTTCTCATTTGTAATTAATTATATTGGGCTTTACCTGACAATAATTCAGCACATTCGCAAAATGCTGAACAAAAATCAGCTCAGTGTGCACAGGGCAAGGGACTGTGTTGCTCTTATGAAACAAAAGTCCCCTTTAAACACACTCACTGCCCCACGCCATCCCCGTGCTTTATACATATCCGTGTCCCATTTCAGGCTTGTCAGACAAACTGCCCAAGCTGAAGCTAAACAAACATCCGCAGAAAAAACTCATTACCTTCCTCAGCTCTCAGAAAACCTGAAACCAAGTGCTTACTCTGTGGGGATGGCCAGAGCTGACTCAGGAAACACGAAGTACTTCCCAGGCTTTAAGCTATCTTAACATTCAGGTCAGATTTCATTTCTCATCACGTAAACCATCCTCACTGCTGCGTGCCAACAGCCCTGTCACGTCGGCCTGCTGCCAGGGCACGGAGGGAGGTGAACATGGCAGCGAACCCACACCCACTGGGGTTTGGGAATCCTGTGCTGTTGGGCTGACAGGACACCATCGCACCAAGCACGGGCACTTCTACAGCCTGAGAGATTTGACAAGGCCAGGAATCAACACAGAGCGAAACACACAGCAAGGCTGCTCAGAAATCCAGGCCAAGCTGCAGGGCTGCTCATTCAGCACAGCACAGTGACTGTGGAAGGCTATGGGTGCCCTGGTGCTGCTTACAGCACCCAGTGCTCCTTCAGAGCCTGACAAGGCCATGCGAGGGCTGGCCCGGCCACAATCACCAACAACACTGCATTTGCTCAACTGTCGCTCCTAGAAAACAACCAAAAATCAACAATGAGAGCCTGGTGCCTTCACTCCCTACTTCTCCCCAGTGCTCCCCACGCAGACATTACAGATGGAGGCACAGGCTGTGCCAAGCCCAGCAACTGATAACCAGAAGCGGGCGGCCTCTGTGCCCACACCGAGCAACTCAGGCCCCAGCAGCAAGGGCTGCTGACACCTGGACAGAGCACAGCTCCAGCAGTGGGAGCTGGTTAAAAAGATAATTTTGCTTCAAGGGATGGGAACTTTTATCAGTGTACTCATTACCAGTGTGTTAACAGACGCAGTGATTCCTGGTGGAACCACAACAGCCATCAGATGCACCTTCTTGTACAGCACCCGTGTCTCCTCACTATCCATGAGCCTCACAACCCGGCACTTGGCACAATTTGGGCTTTTCCAGTCACCCCAACATAAAGCATTCAGGAAAGGTCAGGCAAAATGAAGCCACACGGAAATCCTTGTTCTCATTCACAGCACTCGTAAGAGTCCCACACATCCTCAGCAGCACAGAGCTCAGTCCCGTGCCCCTCCTGTGCCAGCCTACCCCTGCAGGTTCAGTTCTCCCAGAGGTGTACACCAGTTCCACCCTCTGCTCTTCGTAGAGCAGCCCAAACACCCTCTGTCTCAGCATACTCTCAGCCATGCTAAGCCTAGGGACAAGCTGAAGTCCAACACAAAGCACTAGTGCAATCTCATCATGTGCGGGGCACAAAAGTCCTCCAGAACCTGTGGAAAAGCATCCAAAGAGCCCAAAGCTGATGCAAAGCATGATGTGCACACACACCAGGACACCTCTCCACAGCACCAGGGCTTCCTGCCTCCAGCACGAGTTGACACGCAAACCTGAGCATCCCACCAGCGCTGGGACACAGCTCCTATAGCAACCCAACCTCCTCCTCAATGCTGAAACCACAGCAAGCAATTCAGCATACTGCAACTCCTGCCACTGGGCTTCTGCCTGAGACACCTTCATCTCCCTCTGATCCTCAGAAACAACTTCTTCAACACATATACCAAGCTGCAGGAAAAAGCACCTAACAACAATTTTGTGACATTATTTCTCAACGCAGCATGAAATCGTTAGGTCAAAATGTGCCACCTATCACATGAACATTAAAAGTATGTCAAGTCTCAGTGTGCGAGCTATTGTTTTATCCAAACGTGATATTAGCTGGCAGAACTGGGTAATGTTTCTACGCTCCTTTTTAGCAATATGGGACTACGGTGGGACGGATGCAAGCAGAAGCCACTCCTGGCTTTGCAAAAAGAGCAATTAGTTGGAGTTCAAGTGGAAAATAAATAAAAAAAATAAATAAGTGAAACACAGTCAAGAGATCTTCTAAAACATCCAACCAAGCTCTGATCATAAAACTTGCTCTCCGCTTCCCCTCCAAAAACCACGACGGCCAAATTCTCCAGTCCATATTCCCATAAAACCCCGTAACGACACAAAATGAGGCTTTGTTGGGAGGAAAACACAGGAATTTGTCCAAAACCTCTGCTTGCAAATTCCACTCTTGCTGACAAACACACACCGCGCTCCCTTAGCTGGAGCAGGGCACCCACAGACAGGAGCCCAGGTGGGAAGCAGAGCTGAAGCACTGCCCACACGTCCATCACATCACCATGGGCCGGGTGCAGGGGTCCAGAGGGCACAACCCTTCCATCACAGCACAGCGAGCTCTCTCCCAGACACCACTCCGGGTTGATGCAGGTGTAACCAAGGACAAACTCTGGCTCCAAGAAATAAATAATAATTCAGAAAAGAACAAAGAGAAAAGAAAACCACACCAGAAAATGCCAGCAAGCCTTCCTGGCTAAATATTGAAACAGCTTCAGAGCAACACACATTTTTTTGTTAAACAATCAGCTTCATCTTCGCATTTATTTTGACAGTTCATAATTGTTCCAGTTGCGATTCCAGAGCACGTAAACCCAAATCAATCCGCCTTTCACCGCACAAACTTCTCCCAGGCAGAAGTTCCGCACAACAAAGCCCTTCGCCCCGCCGCACCCCCGGGCCGCCCACGGTGGCCGGGGCCGGGCAGGCCGAGAACCGGGCGCTGCCCCTCCGCGGGGAGCACCGACCCGCCGGTGACAGGCCGGACACGAGGGGGAGAAGGAGGTGGGGGGAGGGGGGGGTGCGCCCCGGGACACCCGGAGAGAAAAGTTTGAACGGGGAGCGAAAGGGGGGGGCGCCGGGAAGCCCCGATCCGCCGCCTCAGCCTCCGCCGGGAGCGG